AGAAGAGTGACTCGTGTTTCAGGCTAAACCACTACCCACCATGCCCAGAGCTGCAAGCATTGAGTGGTAGAAATCTGATTGGGTTTGGGGAACACACAGACCCTCAAATAATCTCAATCCTAAGATCCAACAACACATCTGGCCTCCAAATATGTCTCCGAGACAGGACATGGGTTTCAGTCCCTCCTGATCAAACCTCCTTCTTCATCAACGTTGGTGATGCCTTGCAGGTGTTGAGTAATGGGAGGCTAAGGAGTGTGAGGCACAGGGTGTTAGCAGGATCAATGAAATCAAGGGTTTCCATGATATATTTTGGAGGGCCACCGGTGAATCAGAAGATTGTGCCTATACCTTCATTAATGGCCAAAGGAGAAGAAAGGTTGTACAAGGAGTTCACATGGTGGGAGTACAAGAATTCAGCTTCCAAATCAAGGTTGGGAGATAACAGGCTTGGGCTGTTTGAGAACAAAACCCAATGATGTTTGTCCCACATTTTATGTTTCCATACATGCAAACCAAATGTCCTTTCCTTTTTTCCAAATATTATGTACAAATATATTGATTCTTAGTTATAAAAAAAAGGAATTTTTTTATCTTCTCCTTTTTTCCTATGATCTTCCAAGTTCGGGTTAAACCTATTAAATCAATCTAACTGAATAAATTTAGTTTGATCAATTTTATTTTACTTTTATCAATTTCAAATATCGGTCAAGTTGGTTTAATTTCGCCTTTAAATTCTTAAGTTGAATTAACTAATTTTAAAAATACTTATTAAATATATTTATATTAATAATTAAAATCATGACTGAATTTGTGTCCCGAGTTAGTTAAGTATCAATTTAGTTGTAAATTATTAAATTACCCCTTTGGATCGTAATCAATTTTATTTTTCTTATCAATTTCAAAATTTGACAAGGTCTTTTGGTTTCGCCATTAAAATTCAAAATTGAATTTACCAACTTTAAAAACACTAATTAAATATGTTTGTACTAATAATTAAAATCTTAATTGGTTTACTAACAATTAGATAACCTAATGGGACGAAACATTAGTTTTCGTAAGTAAGATCAAAGATTCAAATGTAACACTTCAAATTCCGTATTAGTAGTTTCAAGTTTATCGGAGAGGTATGTGGACCGCGTGGAATTCTGTAACCCCATAGACTCGGCCTATACATTACGACTGAATTTCTATAACACCCCTAGCCCATATATGTTTCGTAATACGAGCTATAAATGTCACATCAACTCAACTGACATTTTGCTGAACTTAAATGTTTCAAATTTTGTTCCATTTAATAATTTCTTTTTTGACTTTAAAAACTTTTTCCTTAATCATATAAATTTATAAAATAATGTTTGATCATTGAAAACTAATCTGATTTCAGTCAGTAATTAGGCAGTTCATTGTTTGTTCATGTCCAAATACAACTGCCTAATACCGCTTGATTTTAAACCATTTAAAATATAACATTTATATTATTCACTCATAAATACGATTAATACTAAAATTAGAAAAAAAAACTAAAGAAAATAATCCTAATTACTATTACAAGCCCTTTTTAAAATAAATCTGATAAAATAACCTAACAAATATAATGTACATGCCACTAATAAGTCAAAGTTAGTAACCAGACATTGCCTTAATTTTAGAAATTATGATGCGGTCTTAAAAAGGATGTCGAACTATTTCGAAAATCACTAGTAGCCACCCCTGAGCATACTTGCGGGAGATGTACCATTAATTCTCTAATAAGTGAGCATTGCCTTGGGTTTTAAAAATAGAATCAAACAAATTTTATTTGTCCTAATTAACTAAGGATAAATTAAAGGCTTTTTCTAGCTTAAGGTGTCAAATTATGAAATTAAAGGACGTAGAGGTATAAACCTAAAAATGTAGGCTTTAATGTTAACCCTATTTGATTTTTAATCAATTGTTGAATCCAATAACCAAGGTTGTCCCTTGAGCATTTACGCGAGGGCCGACTCGGATTATTCCCTAAATTAAGGGGACTATATTAAAATCTAGCTAAAAGTGAATGCTCTATTTAACCTATTTAATTATGTCAATATTAAAACTTTAATCGAAGTTTGGGGACTAAAAAAGTCAAGATCTAAAAATATTGATTTCTAAAAGATTTAAAAGCTTAGGACCTAAATTGATAATTTCTAAATTTGGGGGTCTAATTAACAATCTAAATTCTAGATGTTATCTAAATTATTAAACCTAAAGTTTTTTTTAGAGAATATTAATTTTTAATAAATTTTAAGAGTCGAGCAATCAATTCGAGTAATCGGGCATCCTATGCGAAAATTCGGCTCGAATTGTTCCATAATTAAACTAGAATGTCATCCTAAATTCTAAGCTCGATTCGAGTGTTAATATAATTTAAAATTAAATCTAAGAATTTAAACTATGAAATATTGAAACATTTAATAAACTTAATTAAAAAATTAAAACAATAAATAAAAAAACAAAAAAAACAACATAAAATAAAAATAAAAATAAACCTAAATATAAGGATCTATTTGCATAAATACTAAATTACTAAACTAAAAGGGAATAAATTAAACATAAAAAGGGGCTAAATTAAAACAAATCAAAATTAAATGGCTAAATCTAAATAAAATAAAATAAAATAGTTTTAGGGATTAAAATGTAAAAACACGTGAAAGTTACAGGGACTTAAGGCAATTTTCCAATTTATTTAAGCCTAAAAACAATATGTTGAAATAAAAAGTAAAAATTACAAAATCAGTTCACACAATTTTTTAAAAAAATTAAAAAGTCACTACATATGATTAAAGTGTTAAAACACACTAAAAGTAGGGGGACTAAAAGGAAATTATACCAAAAAATATAAAGCATAAACATAAATGGGTAAATCATAAAATTAGTCCCCTCCAATGACCATTTTATAAAAACACGCGTGAGTTAGGGGAACTAAAGTGAAATTTCCCCTAACTCACTTTATAAATACAACTTTTGGGTTTTTTCCATTTGAAGCAACAAAAGAAACGAAGAGCTCTCCCCTCTCTCCTCCGTTGGCCCATCGTCGGCCGCCGTCGTAGATTTTGGCTCGGTTTCGCACGAAACAATCTCCATCGCCATGAAAATGGCTGAGACAGTTCAGCTCTCCCGGGCTCCGACGACTCCTCCGACAACCCATATAAGTTCCGATCTACTACTTTTTTCACTTTTCGTATTTTTTACTGACTGTAAAATGCTAGGATTTGGTTGTTATTCGATTAAAAAAACTCTTATTTTTTATTTGTTATTGGAAATGTTAAAAAATCTACATGTTACTTTTTTAAAACCGAAATTAAGAACAATAACACCGAAAAAAACTATGTGAAAATAGAGAAAAAAAGGAAAAAGAAAAATGTAACTTTGTGTTGTTTTATTGCTTTTGAAACAAACAAGTACATAGTGCCCCTTTTATTGAATCTGGCCGATAGAGCTTTACATTGTTTTTCGTTTGGGTTTTAATACCCATTTTCAAAGCAAAGAAAATGATTCTAATTTTGTCTGCTTGTGTCTTCTTCGGGTTAGGGTAGAGTGGAGTGTGCGGGTGGCTTTTCCCTGGTTGGTACAGAGGGGGTGGCCCTTGGTTGGGGAAGTAGATGGTGGCTACTGATTGGGGTGTTCGAGCGGCTACAGGGCTAGGTTAGATTTCGGGTCGGGTCCTAGGCTGAGTTTCGGTTAAGTTTTATTTTATGATTAGGTCTCAGGTTGGGCTTGAGGTTTAGTTGGGTTTTAATTTGGAATTGTAAATGGGTTCGAGTTTTTTTATTTTGAGTTGTAATATGTATTTGTGGTCTGAATAATTATAATATGGATAATAATTATTATTATATTGGTAAGTGGAAAAATGGTGATTACAATGTCGTTGTAAGTTTAACCTAAGAACCCATAGAAATAATTTATTCATGTATAACCTTGCAATCAATATGTTCGTGTGAAAGTACCATTCAAGCATTGAGGCACTTCATGCATAACATATATGTCCTTGTAAGTTTAACCTAAGATGACATAAAACATGTTTGCATCACATTCATCAACCGTTGAAGGACCAAGTAATTTCGTTGTTGTAACTATATCGGGCTACTCAAGGAGCTCGTGGTTGTGCATACATGTTTTGCAGCTCGATTTGTCATTGCAAAAAAAAAATATATTGGGGAAGATTTAGGGGGAAAATGGAATGTAGACGTTGGTTAATTTGTTCTTGGGTGTATATTAACTTATTCTTTCTATCAATAGGTTCCCATACTCATCAAACCCGTTATTAATAGTAATATTTGAGTTGGATCGATTATAGACAATTCACCACTTTTGATTTGGATGAAGAGTCGCAACCCATGATTCATGATGGTGCTGCAGATGACTCTAGTCATCTAGTTCTGAAGATTTTAAGAAAGAAAAACTGAAGAGGATGAAAATGAAGATTCATTTTGGGCCCCTTTCTTCTTTAATCTTGACTTAGGGGTTTTATAGTGTTATTCTATACTAGTGTTAGACTTAGGGTTATAATAACTACTCGTAAGCTGGTTAATTAAATGTATATAACTATTTGATAATAGATTTGATATTGACATATCACATGGGCCTACTAGTATTCATGTCAAGAGAAAATGACTAGTCAGAGTTTGTGATTGACAGATAAGGATCTTTTACGGACCTTTTTTGTTATGGAGATTTTAATTTTTGACGAGATTATTTGTGAATGAAATCCGAAGAAGATATAGCAATATCAAATCGAACTGAGCCAACCTTATTTGATTTCAATTAGTTTAAGTTCTAATTATTGTTTGGGTTGATTTATTCAATTTAAATAGAGTAATCAATTTATTCCATTATTGTAATATTCAAATAAAACGGACCGAACCGATTGAATGCACATATGAATAATTTGGGACAAAAATGGAAAATAGTATATTTGGAGGAACAAATATTGAATTTGTTTTAAAATTTCTCTCTCTTGCTCTCGCTCACAAATTTCAATCTTTTACTGCTTTGCTGCTGCCTTCTCAAATCTTCCTTTTCCCCGTTTCCTCTGTATTAACCTTTGTCAACAACAACGCTAACCCCAAAAGGAAAGAGAATGGAGCTGAAGAAGATTTTTACAATGCTCTGTTGAATCACTTTCATGTCTCTCCCCCCCACCAAACGCTTTTTTTCCAACGCCACTTCTTCTTCTTCTTCTTCTTCCTCATCACATCATTTCCAGCCTCCACTTAAGAAAGCCAAGTCCCAAGCCGTTGCTTGCTCTCTCGACCCTAACAAAAACGGCCTCCATCACCACCGTAACAGCCAAGACGATAACATCGTGGCTTTCGACCCTTCATCTATGCCCCTCGACGATGATTCCAAGCCTGACGATGCTTGTAAGCCCGCCGCCGCTAATTTGTCTCGCAAAAAGGCTACCCCGCCTCAACCTGCCAAAAAGCTTGTCATCAAACTCGTTAAAGGTTGAGTTTCTTGATCCCTTTCTTTAATGTGAAGTTTATTTTCTGGGTCGTTTATAAAATTTCCCCTTTAGTTAATTTCGGAGTTTGATCTTAGAATTCGATTGGCTTTTTTTGTTGGGTCGTTTTTAAAAAAAAATTAGGGATTGGGGAAGGTGAATTTAGAAACTTGGAGTTCTGTTTTACTGAGATCTATCTGTTGCCAAGTACTCCTCTATCCACGAATCTTAAGAAGTGTTGCTTTTTCCGGCATAATGCGGTCATGACTTCAACCATTTACTAAAATTGAGCCGTCTGTTTTATGATAATTTGAATTTGGCATCGGTTTTTAGGAGGCAATCTATTCATGATAAACAATTTCAGTGTCCTATTTGATTTGTTAGTTTAAAGGGTTTTGTTAAATAGTGTCCTTAATGCAATTCTATTTATAATTTTGAATGCAGTTGATGAAGACATTACTATACATAGTAAGCTGACCTCAAAGAATTCCCTTAGGGAACTGGATAGCAAAATCCTAATTACATTTGATGTTTTTTGCCCTTGAGATGTGGGACTACTACTTATGCAACTCTACATGAAGAACTCTGAACGTTTATTCATTTTGGATTGTTTTTTCAGTTTGGCCTCAGTTAATCTGTCACAGGAAAAACTAGTGTGAATGTTGTTTAGAAGATATCCTGTGAAACCCCGGAGCTTTTAGAAAAGTTCATTTCCATCCTCTTTTAGACCATCCATGATGCATGCTTGCATAAGTATAATCAGTTGCTTCATCTTCCTGAACAAGTGAAAATGGGTTTTGGTTAGCTGGTGACTTTTATTTGTAAGTTTAATTGCAAGGAGTTGTACCAACGGTTTAAGTAAGATTGTTTTTAAAAAAAAAATCAAATTGTAAGTTTACGTGCAGGGAATTGTAAAGAGGGTTGAAGTAAGTTTGTTTTATATTTTCAAATCAAACTGTATCTCCAATACAATGTTGTTTATATGAACTCAGGAAACTAGAAACACATTACTAACAAGAAAATATTTAGGACATATATTGAGAAATGTTTCTGATACATTTCAACTTGTCTTGTTTTTATATAGCAAAACCTACATTGCCTACGAATTTTGAGGAGGAGACATGGGCAAAGCTGAAGTCCGCCATTACTGCTATATTTTTTAAACAACCAGATTCTTGTGACTTGGAGAAGCTTTACCAGGTAAGTATCACATATTTTCTCTTTTTCACTATTTTGATTATGATAGCCATTTACAATGTGAGCAATGTTGCCTCTTGATACATGAGCTTGCTTCTCTTCAGGCTGTCAATGATCTTTGCCTGTACAAGATGGGAGGAAGCCTTTACCGAAGGATTGAAAAAGAGTGTGAAGAACATATATCAGCAGCACTAAGATCTTTGGTTGGGCAAAGCCCAGATCTGGTTTTCTTATCACTTGTTGAGAAATGTGGGCAAGATCTTTGTGATCAAATGTTAATGATTCGTGGTATAGCCTTGTATCTAGACAGAACATATGTTAAACAAACCCCAAATGTACGTTCATTGTGGGACATGGGCTTGCAGCTCTTCCGTAGACATCTTTCTTTGGCTCCTGAAGTCGAGCACAAAACTGTCACTGGTCTTTTGAGAATGATTGAGGGTGAGAGGTAATTCTAATGAATTTTAAATTTAAATATTCAACTTCTTTATTGCTGTTGAGGGTGAGAGGTTTTTTGCATGTATCAACCTAACCTGGCTAAATATGCATAATAGTTTTAGATGGATGTTGTAAAGAATCAGGTATCATTAAGTTTTGCAGAACTTATGGATGAACTATCCATTGGTTGCTATTGTACTGTCTTTGCTAATAGACATCAATCATAATGTGAGTGGATGAAAGTGTACTAGCTAAACTAATGCAATGGTCAACTTGTTTGATGTCATGCTGGATTTTCTGTGCAAGAATCAGTGGAGCTAAAAATTGAAAAAATCATCGTGCAACATGTTGAGTATTGATTAAGCTGAATTAACTCATAGCTTCTTGTTTTAATGTCCTTATTCCCTTGTCATTTACTTCTATGGTTTTACCAGTCTAAGGCATAAGATTCTAGTTACTTGGCAAAGGCTAGAGGACAAGAGGTGGTAACATATTTTTCTAGTGTGGAATGAAGTCTCTTGAAGGCCAGTTAGAATGTCTGATCAATTTAACTGTAACTTAACTTACTGTCAATCATTTTCTTTGTAGCACTTGTTAACAATTCTGATGTTTCAAGTTTTTATTGAATTTGCAACTTGGGTTCCTTTGCATTCTGTTTTTGATCATGCAGGTTAGGTGAAGCAGTGGATAGGACGCTCCTTAATCATCTTTTGAAGATGTTTACTGCTTTAGGTATTTACTCTGAAAGCTTTGAAAAGCCATTCCTGGAGTGCACTTCTGAGTTTTATGCAGCTGAAGGAATGAAATACATGCAGCAATCTGATGTTCCGGATTATCTGAAACATGTAGAGGTGTGTTTCATTTTTTACGTTTGCAGTTAGAGGTGACTACTGACTGGTGCAGTGGTGCCTTATATTTTGATTTCTACATGTTTTTTCCATATAATAATAATGATAATAGCCTAATATATCATCATATTCCATGGAATGTACATGTTTATCCCTCTGAGATTTTGGATTACTTCCTGTATGCAATATATTCGGATATACTTGCAGATGAGGTTACATGAAGAACATGAAAGGTGCTTACTCTACCTGGATGCTCTTACAAGAAAGCCACTTATAGCAACAGCAGAAAAGCAACTGCTTGAACGTCATATACCTGCTATTCTTGATAAGGTATGACTGCAGTTCTTTGCACGTTGAATGCCTGCTTGAATTTGAATATTTTTAATGGTAATATATATATTTTTTTTGATAGGATTTAATGGTAATATATATTTTTCTAATTTCTGCAGGGCTTTGTGACACTGATGGATGGACGTCGTATTGAGGACCTTCAGAGAATGTACTCACTGTTTTCAAGGGTCAATGCTCTTGAATCACTCAGGCAGGCTTTAAGTTCATATGTTAGGAGAACTGGACAAGGCATTGTCATGGATGAAGAGAAAGACAAGGACATGGTGTCTTCCTTGTTAGAATTCAAAGCTTCACTTGATTCAATATGGGAAGACAGCTTTTCCAAGAATGAGGCGTTTAGCAACACCATCAAAGATTCTTTTGAGCATCTAATTAACCTACGTCAGGTTAGCATGTTTTCTCCTCTGTTTTGGAGGTTATTTTATTTTTAAACTGCATTTAGTAATACTCATTTTAAATTACAATATTTAATCGTGGCTGATGGCTGAACTTTGTGTCATGTTTAATAGAACCGACCCGCTGAGCTGATTGCAAAGTTTCTGGATGAAAAGCTTCGTGCTGGTAATAAGGGTATTTCTGAAGAGGAATTAGAGGGAACACTTGATAAAGCTTTGGTTTTATTCAGGTTCATCCAGGTAGAGTTCATGTTTTCCCGATAAGAAATATTAAATTTGCTTTTGCTTCAAATGGAAGTTCTCTTTTTGTGCATTTCTTGCTTTTATTCTCCGTAAATTAATGCTAGAGATGAAATAATATTTTATTGGTAATCAAGGGAAAGGATGTCTTTGGAGCATTCTATAAGAAGGATCTTGCAAAAAGGCTGCTTCTAGGAAAGAGTGCTTCTATAGATGCTGAGAAATCTATGATTTCTAAGGTCAGTTTATTTTTGAATCAGATGTGTTAGGTGGTGTTAGACCACAGATGTTTAGTATTATATTTCCTGTGGTCTTATATTAAAGTTTGGCCCGTCCACCTATTACGAATTGGTTTAAAGTTGTATTCTTAACAAAATCGCTTCTCTCTCATTCTCTTACTCTGAAGAGTGTATTAAATCATTACATTGTTATGATGGTGCAGCTTAAGACTGAATGTGGCAGCCAATTTACAAACAAACTTGAAGGAATGTTCAAGGTCCTCCGCTATATTTATTTATTTAAACTTTCCCTAGAAATGCATTAAATATATGTTGCCATTGGAATTTCTAATCACGAATCAAGTGTAATTGGTGTTTTTTGTTCTGTAAACATGGGCAATCCAGTAACTCTTATAACAACTGGGCATATTTAACTCCACTGGTAGTGGCATTGGTTCCAGAATGTTATTCCTCAAGACATGATTTTAGTTAATTATGAGTTTCCCTGCAAATAGAATGTTATATGTAGCAAATTAATTGTACCTTGAGGATTGATTACACAAATAATTATTCAAGTAATAGAATTAAGAACAGAAGAAAAGGATTCTAAGAAAGATTTATTCAACAATCTGCAAAATTTTTTGGAGTTTGTGTAATACTGGACTTATTTCTCTGTGACTGGTTTCTTATGCCTAGAATACGTTGACAGAGCAAACTTCATTTACTCTTTGGTGGTAGAGTACCTGGAAATTTGGAAGAAATATCACATTGAAATGCACACTTGAATTTCCTTTCCAGTTTGAGGGAAACTAGTGATATGAGATAAATTTTAGTGTGATATTAATGCAGTTGTCACCTTAGATTAGAACTATAGCTTTTATTTTATTTTTACAAATGATATGAATGGACTTGTGTTGGTCATTAAATCACCTCTCGTTCTAGGATTGATCTTTCTGATTGTGGTTTTATGTCGAAGGGTTCTTGCTCTTTCCCAGAAATCATCCGTTGAACTTTACATGAGAGGATGAATGTGGAAGATTTTTCATTATAAATATGGTTGTAATCAATTTTCAAACAAAATTCTTTCTCTATTGTGTGTGTATATCCATGCTTATTTTCTTTGATGTGTTACAAATTGCAAAATGAACCTTAATTGTGTTGAATGTGAACTCTTGTGATTTTCATCTAGGATATTGAATTATCAAAGGAGATAAATGAATCATTCAAGCAGTCATCCCAGGCCAGGTCAAAGCTTCCATCAGGAATTGAGATGAGCGTCCATGTCTTAACAACTGGGTAAATCATATTTCACCGTTATTTGAATTAAACCATAAATGCTTGATTAATTACTTTATTTTCATGGTTATTTAGTTCTAGTTTTTTTTTTTTTTAAAATTCTATTCTGATTGCTGAGCGGTGTAGGTACTGGCCAACGTACCCACCCATGGATGTTAGGCTTCCACATGAACTGAATGTCTATCAGGTTTGCTACAGGCTTTGGGATGAGCTGTCCACTGTTATGGACACCGGAGAGTTTTTAAATCTAAAAGTTGACACTTTTGTACTATTGGTGTAACAGGATATCTTTAAGGACTTCTACTTGAGTAAGTACAGTGGGAGGCGCTTAATGTGGCAAAATTCATTAGGTCATTGTGTGTTGAAAGCTGATTTTCCCAAAGGGAAAAAGGAGCTGTCAGTTTCCTTATTCCAGGCTAGTCTATTGGTGTTTCTGTGACCATTGTTCTGTCATTAAGTTATGTTTTCGAATTTTCTCTAGCAGCGCACAGTTCTAATATTTTTCTGGGTTTGTGACTGTTTACTCTCTAGACCGTAGTTCTGATGTTGTTCAACGATGCCCTAAAGCTTAGCTTTCAAGACATTAAGGATTCCACTGGCATTGAGGACAAAGAATTGAGGAGGACCTTGCAGTCCCTTGCATGCGGGAAAGTTAGAGTCCTACAAAAGGTATGTCCATTTATCATTTCTTATATGTGCTGGTAAAGTTGATACATTGTTTATTTTACTTCGTTCCATTTTCTTTATTCCTTTTCTGAATCTGTATGCTGCAGTTTCCGAAGGGGAAGGATGTGGAAGATGATGATTCATTCGTTTTCAATGAAGGATTTACTGCTCCGCTCTATCGTCTAAAGGTAAATGTATTTTGCAATTTCAAGTTGCAGCTGGTAAATATATTTTGAAAGATCAAACTAAATGTTGCGTGTATATCGATACTATCCCGCTGAATTCAACTAGAGAGGATTAATGATAAATCTGCTTTTCTCGCATGATAAGGCATCAAGTTGAGTTTTCGGGAATGCAGGTAAATGCAATCCAGATGAAAGAGACAGTGGAGGAGCACACTAGCACTACCGAGAGAGTATTTCAAGACCGTCAATATCAGGTTCATCTTTGCTTCACACTCACATTCTCTTCTTATCCATCCACCGAAAACAAATAAAAATAACAGAATAGAAAGCAATCTCTATAGGAGCTTAATCATTTGCCATTTTTGCTTGATTAATTGCAGGTTGATGCTGCCATTGTTCGGATAATGAAGACGAGGAAAGTGTTGAGCCACACTCTTTTGATAACTGAACTCTTCCAACAGGTAAGCATATTCTTCTTTTGCGTTGTGCATAACAAACACATCTCCAAGGAGTTCCGAGTAACATCCAATCACAATCGTAGCTAAAAATAAACAAAGTTGGTGTTACTGTTTAAGAGTTATCATGCCATTAACCAGTCTACTGCAAATTATGATATCTAGACATCAAAGGGGATAATGTGCCTTTAAGTTGCATATTTAACATACTCAAAGTTTGTTGGATTGAACAGCTTAAGTTCCCCATAAAACCAGCTGATTTGAAGAAAAGGATTGAATCTCTGATTGACCGGGAGTACCTGGAGCGGGACAAGAACAACCCACAAATATACAATTACTTGGCATAGTTTTCCCAATTCATCTTATTTTTCTTTGCTTCGATGATCTGCTCTTGTAAATGACGGGTAAAAACATGGAGCTGAAATCCCTTGTCAGATCCATGTACAGTAGTAGTTTGTAGTATTTACGTTGTTGCAATCAGGACTGTACTTGTAAAAGTATATTTGGCCTCTGCTTTCTTACCATTTTTTACGGAATTCACAATGGGAGGGAGACTACAGTCACTTCAAATAAGCTGCTTTTGTGTTTTTCTTGTTTCATGGACGACCCTTTTTATTTTGGCATAATATCAAAATTAGCTTTCAATATTTATCAAAATGGTCATTTTGAGTCTCATTTCTTTGGGAGTATTTTGGTCCATAATCTCATTTTAGGTCAAAAAGTCCTTTTGCGAATGGAAATTATTAGTCATCAAAAGGTAACACTAAAATATTATGACTTGGTGTAATAGTCAAATAAATGGTAAAGTACACAAATGGTCCATTGATTATAGGATGTTTTAGGTCTCCTGACTAATAAAAATTACAAAATAGCCTCCTAGCTATAAGGTGTTGATTGAGTCTTTAAACTATTAAAAGTTACGAAATGGTCACATAATTATTTATTATGTTTTAAATTTGTCTTTTTTCGTTAAAAAACTAATGGTCGTTTGAGTTGAATATTAATATATTGATTGAGAATGATAGTTGTTTGAGATTTTGATATCATATTTTATCATATTTCAATCTATAGGTTAATGTCTTACTTAGATCGTTGTCATTTTTTTAACAGAAAATGATGAGTTTGGAACATAATGAATAGTCAGATGACCATTTTATAACTCTAATATTCGAGAGACTCAACAAAGCAATGTCCTATAATCGATGGATCATTAGTAACTTTTAATAATCGGAGGATATAATAAAACATCATATACTCGAGGGACTATTTATATATTTTACCCTTAAATAAATTGAGGTTTTTGAGAGATGAGATTTCTTTTATTTTCAATCAACTAGTGGTAAACAAATGCGATTAATAAATATTGAATAGTTTGGATGATTTATTAAAAAAAAATTCAATCATTAACAACGTAGATACATTTTATAGTCGAAACTATTTAAATTGAATCTCTGAATAGATCAACATTTTCTTCTATTGTAATGACTGGTAAATGAGCTTAGAATATATATTTTTAAATTAGATACCATTGAAGTAATTTATCGCTTAATTTTGAGTTTAGTCCAACAACTACAAATATTATCTTAATTTAATTTATCCCAGACAAAATCCAATCCTAAGGATTTGATTAAAAGATCAATCCTTTTTATCAACCTTCAAAACGTAACGCCTCACATTGGGGTTTATTTTAAGTTACACAATTTCCAAGTAATTAGCTTATGATGTCTCACACTTTTGTTTAGACTTGTCTTCCTGGTCTTCCTACACACACTTAAAAGTATCGATTCAACTGTGGAATGGCACTCTCATTTAACTTATCCATCAAATCTTCAAATGGCATGCCACCAACCAAGCCACCTGGTCGAATTTCGACCGAATGAGAGCTTGATTGTTCATGAAAAATACTTCACCAACCAAGCCACCTGATCGAATTTCGACTGAATGAGAGCTTTGATTGTTCATGATCACCATCCAAACCACCTAGTCAAATTTCGACAGAATGAGAGTTTGATTGTTCATGGAAACTACATCAGCAACCAAATCACCTGGTCGAATTTCTACAGAATGAGTTCATGAAAAATACATATTCTGACATGAGTATGAAAAAATAAACCTCCAAAGACCTTGGGAAAACATGTAAAATGACAGAATATATCCACATCCGACACTTAGTTCCAAATCTCAACCCTACTTTTCAAACTGTCAGTTGTTTCTTAGTAAAGCAAAACTGAAAACCTAGTGAAGCAATGAAAAGATTAATCGAAACTCCCCAAATCAACAATCAATTTGATGATAACTGACTTCATAAAATCAACCAAACTAACAGTTATGAACCTGTATAGTTCATCGGTACATAGTAGAACTAAAACTCTCTTAGTTTCCATTAAGGGCTGAGGAAGGCAAGATAAACCATTCCTTTATTCTTCTACAGTTCTACAGTTATTTTTTTTATTTATTTCAGAGAGAAAAACAAGCCTACAGATGCAGAGACAAATCTACATCTACTGGACCTTCCTCGGCTTCAAATAAGGCTTTCGGTGCAGGAGCTGGACCATCAACATCCACAGAAAGAGCTAGCTCTTTCTTCACAAGATTCCAAGGCTTCTTTTTTTGATAAAAAAGGGAGGCCTAGTTAAGAACCCCTTCATAACTGTCAAAACACTAAGGTATCTCGACGGACATTGAAATGAGGAAAAAGTGCCTCAAAATTTTATTCCCAACCAAAGAGAACAATACAAAATAACCATTACAACAAAAACACCTAACATCAGAAGTAACCTCCTAGAAAAAAAAACACAAGCTCATCCTATTCCTATCTTAGCTAATTCATCTGCTTCACAATTCTCAACTCTATTGACATGTCTTACAATAACATTCTTATCTACTACCAAAGACTCAATTTCCATCACTAGCAAACTAAATAACGTAGGACAAGAACTTGGAATCTTGATCCAATCTAACTCTTTGCTGCAATCGCTTTCCAAAATAAATTTTCCCCTTGAGCTCCAATATGAGTTCATGAAGAATAATATCAGCTTTGATAGCCAACAACTCGGCAAAAATCGGAGGGCCCAACACTTTCAGAAAATGTCCCCAACACCGAACCATCTTCATCTTTTAGTAAACCACCTATACCTCTTTAGTCCAAAACTTATCCACATCTCCATCCATATTTATCTTGAAGAAACCCTTAGGAGGAGGACAACAAGACATCGCGCTAACGCAGGTTTTATTGCAACACCCCCATGAATCAGCTAGAGCAGGATTACCCACAAGATAATCGAAAGGAAATGGGACAGAAGGAAATTTTGCCAAGAACCAAGAAACCAGTCTATACCTTTTTAGGAAAAATAACAGTGTGTTGTCTAGATTCCTACCTTAAAAAATTATCTCGTTCTTATACTTCCAGACCGACCATAAAATTGCTCCTAGAATAAACACCCAAATTTTTGAACAAAGCACCAGCATCATCCAAACTGAAACTAGAGCAGCCGAACTTTTTAGAGCAGTAAAAGGGACATCCCACATATTCAAAAAAATGGACCATAATATCCAAACTACCGAGCAGGCCACAAACAAATGAGAAACCATTTCCGGAACCGAACCGCACAGAGGGCAAAGGTTGTCCATAATTCCAGTGACTCCACGTTTCAGCAGTTCAACTTTAACTCCTACATTTATATGCAAAACCTGCTAGACAAAAACTTCTACCTGAGGAGGGGCCACCCCAAGCCATACAAGATTTTACCAATCTAGCTCCACGTTCTCTTTCTCATTTAATAATTTTAAACAAGATCTAATGAAATATACACCTTCTCCATTTCATGTCCACGTATAAGTGTCTTCCAACGAAGCATCAACATAAAACTTGCAAAGAATAGAATTTAATTCAAGCCAAAGCTCCAACTTCCAATCAGCAAGGTTTCTCCTCAACTGGATGTCCCAAAACCATCCTGTATGACTTTGTTTTCTGATATCATAAATTTTACCCCATTTGTTATCCGAAAGAGCATACATCCTTGGATATCAGTCTTTTAAAGGCATGCTCCCAACTCAAACATCATGCCAAAAGAGTATAGCATTCCCTTTACCCACTTTTAAACAAAAATGATTTCTGATACAATCCCCAAAAACTTTCTTAGCCAAGCAATTTTTAACTATCCCTTTCCAAATCCAAGAAACTTTAGAAAAGCCCCGTCTCTATATTGAAATATCATTCGGATCCACACCATTTTTTCAGCAAATCACCCTTTTCCACCATGAACTAGACTCGCTTAAAAATCTCCATGACCATTTACCCAAGAGCACTCTATTCAATAAATTAAGATCAATAATCCCTAAATTGCCTAGCTCCTACAAACATACTGCCAATTGACCCAATAGATCTTTCTCCTATTATTCGAATCTCCCCATAAAAAATTCACCATAATCGAATTCAACCTTGATAGGACACAAGATGGCAACCTGAAAATAGATAAAAAAAAACAGGCAGTGAACATAAAATCGATTTAATCAATACTACCCTCCCGCAACAGAAAGTGAAGCTGCTTTCCAACCCGATAGCTTCTTATAAAACCTTTGAGTAACCGGTTCCCATAAAGCCACCAAACTCTTCCTCGCTCTCAGGGGTAGCTTTAAAAAGTCTGACGAAAGAGAACCCACTGAACACGCAATCGAATCAGCCCACTCTTTCATAATATAGCTTCTGCATTAATACCAAAAATTTTGTTGTTAAACTAGTTTAATTACATCATAGACATCAACTCAAACAAGAAGAGAACCCTAAACACATTCTTTAATTCCCCACCATATTCATAACAGAAAATGATAAGATCATCTGCAAACTGTAAATGTGACAACATAAAGGAATTCTTCGAGTCGCCAATCTCGAAACCCTTAAAAAGCCCAATATTTTCCGTCTTAGTGAGCATTAAACTTAACATCTCTCCAACCAAATTGAATAATAGCAGAGACAACAAATAACCTTGACAAAGACCTCTGAGCGAAACCCATTCACTATAACAGAGATTGATGCCGAATATATACAAGATTTTATCCAAGAACACCACATTTGTCTGAAACCCATATATTCCATTATTTTCAACAAAAACTTCCAATTTACCGAATCATATGCTCTTTTGAAATCAACATTAAAAATAATACTTTTTCAAAATTTCTTCCTACAATAGTCGATTCATTCATTTAAAATCAGCAAACAATCTAATATTTGCCTTCCTGGAATAAAGACAAATTGAGAAGGTCCAATTAACGAATCGATGCACATCATTAACCTTCTCGACAACACATTGGATAAAATTTTATAGAGCCCTCCGACCAAATTGATAGGCATATAGTATTTCACACTAGTCAAAATTGCCTTATTGGGGATGAGGGTTATAAAGAAATGGTTAACCTCATTTTCCCATTATTTCCCCCCAAAAAATCTTTTAAAAACATATAATATCATCTTTTCATAGTGGCCAGAAGTTCTTAAAGAAATGCCTATTCAATCTATCTGGACTAGGGGCTTTATTGATGTTGG